TCTCACAGATGACGTGTTCATAGATAATATTGTACGCATAACTACGAGGCAAGAAGGGGACACAATGCATTTTGGAAGTTTAAATAGGTAAGTCCTCCCTGAACAGTCATTAAGAGTCTACAAAGGCTAACAAATCTGATTAAGTCATTTAAGCACGATCTCTCCTTTCTAAGTTTGAGCTGACTGCTTTTGGCCAGTCTCGATCTATACAACCCATTTCAGTTTGTAAAGAGCATTTGTTGCCAACACTAAGTTGAAATGCACAGATTTTTGTTATCCTTTTCATCACTCAATTTTGATGGCCATTATAGAAGAATACACAACTGCATATTTTAACCATTTTTGCTAACTGAATCCCAGCTTGCCCCAGTATCCTGATATTAGACAACTTTGCTGTAAAGATTTCCAATATTTGCAATGCTTAAACTTTAAGAAAAGGGTTTTTCCACAGTGAATCACAAACTGTATATTTTGGGAAACAGCACTTCAAGGACAGATATAATGCACTAAGAAATCATGTGGGAAGACAAAAACCATTGATGTTTTCAGCTGCTGTGATACAGAGTGCTTCCAAAAATTGTGGTAAGATCAACCAAAGAGCTCCTGCAGCTTCTTTTCCAGAAGAAAAATGCTATTAGTGATATTTCTACATCTACTGAGTCAAGCAGTTATTGTAAATATTTGACAGTGATTTCCAGGAGTCTGTTAGATCTGAGATGCATGCTCACAAACAAGGGACGGAAGAAGTTAAGAACTAGGATTACCTAAGGAAGAATTTTAGCTACAAGACATTTTTAGATTTTAATACAGCCATTGTTTACTACATTTATTATTTCTTCCAGAAGGAACAAACAGAAAAGTTTTTCTTGTAATCATATTAAAGAACATTGATAAGATTCCCGAAGCTATTATGAGTTACAGCAATTAGAAGAAAATTGTGTGGTTAAGGACAAACGTTCTTTTCTTTCTTCTGTTCATTGTTTCCTCCCCCTGTATCTTATATACACACTCAGAAGTCTCTGTGCAGCTTTGGTCTCCTTTCCTGCCCTGAGAGGACAGAGAGAAGCTACCTGCTGCCCTCCAGCTTCACGTTACATTTTCCACTCCCAGGCAGCTGCAGACAAAATAGCCTGCCCAGGCTCTACAGTCACCTTTTTAAGATCGACACTAAGGAGTGATGGATCAAGGCAGGGAGACACCCCTGAATCTGAGTACCCCCTCTTGCAGGAATAATTAAATATATGCTGAATTCAACATAGCACCGTCAGTCACTTTTGATATTTCAAGAAATCTGTTCCTCTTTCTTAGGCAATTGATGAATCCCAAAATGATGGCTGTGACAATAGCTGTCAGTTTTAAAGTTCTTTTGATGTAAAATGCATTGAAACCCCATCAGAATTTTTTAAAATAGTCTACCACAAGAAAAACGTTTTGTCTTCTTACTCTCAGATGAGCACAGAAACAGAAGCTTGTTAGCTTCTATTTTCTTGAGCAACTGTAAAGTATAAATTCCTATCTGTGAGGTGTATGTTTTATATTTAACGCACAAATAATTTTACTACATCCTTTGAATGCTCAATATTCAGAATTAATTCTCTTGTTCCATTCTTCAGCTTTCCTATGCATGTTTCTGCTCCCCCAAAACCTTCCTTTCTACTTTTAATTGAAATGTGATTGTGTCGCCAGGTTCAACCACAACTTCGACAAGTCTACAGAGGCAGCTCCAACGCAGGCCAGGAGCCAGCATAGAGGGTTCATAAGAAACAAAAGATATAAAGGCAGACAGAAGTACAAAAGAACCAAACAAATCCTATTGTACTGAAACTCTACACACCAGAAGATGGATGGATAGCTGTCAAGCTTTTCAGAGGTATACAAAAAGCCACGGTTTTGCACAGAGCATTACAATAACAAACTAGATGTTTACAACAGTGAAAGGCAATATGGGTGAAAGCAAAAGTGTTCATTTGCAGGTACTCATCTAGCAATTAGCTTTAGCTAATTCCAACTTTTGCTAAAAGAACAACATGCTTGCTAATAGCACTCAAGAAAGCTATGATCAACAGGCACAATCTACAGAAGCCCTTAAGAGTTGCTAACATTTTACGGAAGATTTGAAGAGATCAGAGCAGTGGAAGGAAACAGAGGGAAGGGTGATGCGGTCCAAGTAACAGACGAGCAAAATTACCCGTATAGATTCTGGGTAAAAGCAGGGCAATATTGCACTTTACAGTCAGAAATGAGACTTCAGCAAAACAATCAAAATATAAAAATCAGAAGAGGATGGACAGAGTATAGGTTACATTACCTTCCTGTTCAAGCACTCTGGAGATAGTATACACACCAGAGCATCAAGACCTACACGTAGCCTAGATGTAAAAGCTTGAGGGGAAAGAGGAGTCATGCATAGAAGTCAGTGATGATGCTCAGGTACGGAACTGAGCAACAGGCCCAATATTGCACAGCGGCCCTGTACGTAGGGAGATTGCTATTTCTAATGGATGTCAGACAGATGAGTTACCTATTGAACCACTTCAGCTACCCACACGCATTCCACATACTCTCCTGTTCTTTTTATTCCTATCACAAAGATTGTATTTTCTTAGTTCCACATTTCCTAGAAGCAAACATGTTCTTCCACACATTATCACAGCTTTTTATAGTTTTGTCCTTTCATGCTGCAACCAGGGTTATTCTGGCCCTTTTTCTGACAGGTGGAGGAATACAGAAAGTCAAAACATTAGCAGACATTAGTGACAGATTAGTTTCAGATAAATTACTGCAAAGTAAATTTTGACAATAGAAAGCAACTCCTGTTCTTGACCAAAGCAAAAGCAGCCAAAAAGGTGGGAAATGCACAGAAAGGATGCACCAGACAACTGCTGCTGGGTTGAATAGTCAAGGGTAGACAGTAATATTGCTTGTGACTGCAACAGGTACTCTGTAACATATTTCTTCTTCTTCTTTCCCTCACACTTTAGTTCTACCTCAGGAAATCTACACACTAAACAAATGACAGGTTTGCAGCATTTAATCCTATTCACTTCAGTCAATTCATCTGAGGATGATCTAATCTAAGCTAATGACCATCCGAGGAGAAAGTTCCTCTCCTCTCTCATCCCATTTTCCAGGTTCCTGGCTCAGAGCTGCAAGTTCTTCCCCTTCCCTAAACTTAACCACAGCTTTGGGGCTCACTGGACATCATGATGACCAAGTTCAAACTACTACCTAGATGGCAAACTAATCCAACAAAACCAGAATATTTTCTTTCCAGGTTAGTGACTGGAAGTGGCTCAGCCACTACTGGTACTGTAAGTACTTGAACAAAAGAAGGGGAAGAACCACACAGCAAAGAGCTGGGAAAAGCAAGGCTTTTCATTTTAATGATGGTGGGCTCTTTTCACAGAACTGCTGTCTCATGGGATAACTCAACTGAAAAAGCAGAATCTCAGTCACTTCCACCTTCCTCCCAATGGCTTTACTGTTCCCTAGTCAGTACCAGCGCTACTTGTCACAAGATCATGACCCAGCAGAACTCTCTGCAGCAGAGGAACACCCTGCTCCACCTTGCAGGGCTTCTCTGCCATGCTGATGAGCCCAAGTTGCAGTTTCATCCCAGCGGCACATGGAACCGTGCAACTTGCAAACCTACTTGAAGCTTCGTGGCTGGCAGTCACCAACTATTTCACACTTACTCTTTGCAGTCATAAATATATACTAGGAAATGATTACGTAGTATATATGCCCTCTTCCCTATCAATGAACTACAGAATAACCAAAAAGCTTCCAATGTAGGAATCTCAGTTTTAATTTAGATACAAGCAAGTGACAAATGGCTGTAATGAACTAACGATTTCACTACCTGAAATCCAGGCTTAGTACACATCAAATTCATTACTATTGCAATTTGATACATAGTCTAATGAAACCAACACACGTGGCAGTATTAAATCCAGACATATGGAATGAACCCGTTCATGTGAAAACAGAGGTGTGTTTATATACCATTCAGTGGTATAAAATAGTGATTAGCTCTCATTCAATACTCCCATTTCACATCAGCAATAAGTAAAGCAACTATAGAGGACCTCATTTGACCTTAATTGTTAAGGACGTTATGTCAACATTTGTATAATCAAGCTAGTGCCCTGCTCTGACATATTAAGATAAAAACTAGAAGTACCTCAAATAATGAGATCTTTACTTTTAATTACCCAGTGCCTTTAGGCAGCAATTACAATTTAAAAGACTACAGAAGAAGTCTGGTTGACCTCCAGTTATTTCAATACTTGAGAGAACCAAGAAAAGGGCAGGGTTTGGAGCAAGCAATACCCATTTGATTCCCAACAGACAGAACTTATGCATGCAGTCTTTTTTTATGCTCCTAATGGTCTTATGTCAACACAACTTTATGATTCTGGAGTGATGAAAGAATACAGAAATGTAATTTGTAGTTAGTTTACAAATTAAACACAGCTTAAAAAAATATTACTCCACCCTACAATTTTTATGTATTTGTTCATGACGTTCCCTTCTACTAATACCATTTTTTTGAATTCTACATTATTATTTTTTCAAAGAGAAAAAAGTGAAGTCAACTGCTTTAAAGGCAATGTTAGTCTTATAAGATGTTTTCACATGTATGTGGGTATATTTGCTTTTAACAATGGAGCATGCCTTTTTATATTAAACACACACCATCTTCCACACGTACCCCCCCTCCTGTAACTAAAAAGAATGTTTTCTCTTTCAGTTGCACCAACATAACTATCAGACCATGCCACTGATCTTCCCCTACTGATGCGTATCAGGAATCCCGTACAGTTCCTTTCCATCTCCAG